GGGTCAGTTAGGAATCCAGAAGAACTTTTTTGCCTATGAGTTCAAGTTTCCGAATTGGACAACTGTACTTATAGAGTGGACCCATCAAGTGATCTTTTTTGTAATGTTCTAGAAAGTTGCTGTTTTTTATTTCTTTTTACAGTGCATACAAAAAAGTAACTCTAATCATGTGTTTTTCTTGACCCAAAATCGTTTGTTAATGGAATGTTAATCTCTGCAGGCGCACAACAGCATTGTCCTTGAAGTGTTCCTCCACCCTCTCTGTTTGTCTTTGTGAAGGTGGTGCACTTATAAGAGTTGTAATGGCTCGAGTCAGTGACTCGAGTCCAACTCGAGTCACCAGTTTTTGTGACTCAACTCAAGTCCTGACAGGTAAATGATTTGACTCTGTTCGAGTCATTGCAAGCAACTGACTCCACTCAACTCGAGTCCCTACTTGAGTCACTACGTTACAGTGACTCGATTCGATTCAGTCACTGGGTTAAAACGACTCAACTTGAGTCACAAAAATTAGTGACTCATTACAACTCGGGCACTTATTCACATAGCGAACGCCCACCTGGATGTGCTTCAGCCCTCATTCACTATTATTTAAGCCCCTTTCACCAAGTCCCAGAATGCATGTGCATACATGTACAGCTTGGGGACCTCTGTGCCTGACATTAAATACGTGTACATGTAGAATCCATTCCCAGCTTGCATTTGGAATCATTTAACTTTACACTTCTGAGAAAATCAACTATCTGTCCAATTCTGGTTCCCTCCCAAGAATTGATACAAGCAGCTTTTATTTTGAGTGACATTTTAGCCTTTCTGCAGTCTTCGTAGACTGGGTAGTTCCAGGAAGAGTCTGATTCCGGAATGCCTGCTGGAAAGCAGCTGTGCACTGTGCTTTATTGGTAACACTGCCACTTCAGAATGGATGTTGGGTCATATTGTAAAGTTGGTCCTTTGATATTGTAGTTCCTCAGCGAATTCTATTGACGTTTTTGGATGTGCTTTATAGAGGAGAATAGGAGCCAGTACCAAGACAGATCCTTTACTCCAGGATATCAATGTAATCAATTTGAAAAGTGTTGTATTCATGTAAGCTGATTGTGCATAAATATGTATAAATGCACGAGCATAAATGTTTATCCGAGCAGATGTATTCACAGGAACAAGTATTTACACAGAAACACAAAGGAAAACTAAAAGTTGAGATACTGGTAACCAATATTTTTAGGAACAGAAAACAACATCAGCTATTTTTAACTCTCTGAAATGGAATATGCATTTCGCTTTCTAATCTAATGCTGGCAAGTTCAGAAATGAGCGAGCTTGTGGGCAGTTGTCAACATCATGATTATACAATGAAGATGGGACTTTGGTGGTAACTTTTTGGGGGGGCTGCATTTCTATTTTTCTTTCTTTTTTGAAGGCTTAAAGTGCTGAGTCTGTTTCTGTGCATTATGGATAAACACTGTTTTATGAAAAGTCAGCTTATTAGGTGTAAGCCAATGATTGCATCACATCAGATGTTCAGATGGGGGGGGGGCATTTGCTTCAACAAATCATCCAGCTGTCTTGCTTAGCGGTATATTTTTGTAACCTTCCCTGCATTTACTCAGTAGCTACCCCATAACCTTGAGGCTTAGTGTAATCCTAACTATGAAATATATCAATATTCGGACTGTTCAGTCCCAACATCTTCTGTCACCTGTGAGATGCCTTCCTGTCTCAGACACTCTCTTATCTGTATCACCTGATTCAGGTATTTCAAACAATCTATTTTGAGGTCCTTTTGTTTTTAAACTGGTTGCCTGTGAATGCTATTTTTGGTGCAAGTCCCAATAGAATGATTCCCCAATACTAAAAATCATTCTTGCCGATATATACTTTTATTGAAGTTGCTATTGCTCTGTGTGTGTCTGGAGCTGACCAGTGTGAAGCCGATGCATTCAACAGATTTGTCCCCTGCCTACTTGTACATGTAAATGCACGAAAGCTTAAACTTAATTCTCCATGATTCCACCTTTCCGTCATAAGTTACTGTACTGGTAAATGTGCAATTGTGCATATCACTGAAAGATGGAGCACCAAAAAAAAAAACCAAAAAACTGAAGGTGCCTTTCTGTTGCGGGATGACAGGGAAATACACCATCCTAAGATGGGATGCAGAGAGAGAGAGAGAGATGTCTTCCCAAGATATGGTATCATCTTCCTGAGATGAGACACCTGAGGGAGATGTCATGATTCTGTCCATCCGTGAAAGTTTGCTTGGGAAATGCGGAAACGCCAGTGTTCACTTCAAGCTTCCATATCACTTCAAGGCATTCTTGCATGACAGTGTGGAAAATGTATGGATCAAACATTGCACCAGTTCCAGAAAGTTGACTCTAGCCTGAAAGCTAAATTTACCAGGTGGTTGAATGGCTAAACAAGGACTACTCGGTACCTCTGACCGACACCCAATCCCAAGGCCACTGATCAGATGAATTTGTCAAAAGAGTGAACTGTTTTTTTGGGAATTATCAGACGTCACACATTTACAATGTTTCTGTAATTCTTTGAAAATGATATTTCTGATAAGTAGTAAATGGGTTATAATACAAAGGAGTATCAGGATCTTCCGAGGAAAACAGTTCCAGGTACCCTGTGCAAGGATGACATACTCCTAGTAAAATTATATTCTTAGCTCTGTCAGTTTCCCAGGCGTCAGTGTAAGCCATATGAAGCTTACTCCCATGGGAGGTCATGAAATCTACGCACCAAACTGTTTTGCAAGGAAACACCATTTATTTATGGTAGGGATGGAAATGAAGGAAGGCTTTCCAGCTTGTTCCCTTTAACATGGTATTGTTGTGCCATTTATGTACATGTTTGCTGGGGGGGAGGGGGGAAGCTGCAAGAAACAAAGCGGAAAATTTACATCAATGATGGCCTGTTCATGATGCCGCTGCAGTGCAGATTTCTGACTAAAGAAGCAAATACTTGCACTGCGATTTTCTTGAAAATGGAAAAGAGTTCACTGCACAGCGATCTTACAGCTGTGGGTTTTTTCCATGCAGGCGGGACATATTTCACGGAACAAGCTGTACCGCAAACACTGCTAAATGCTGGAAAAGTCAACACGGTTAAAAGTTCTATTTACATACACGTGTACACGCAGTGGGATTCAGATTTGACACAAGTGGCAGGGTGCTGTTCTCTTTGTCCTACCAGCTGGACAAAATCCACTGATTGCATTTGTTTTATACCAAATTGCTTCTTAATTCAGCTTAGAGCTGTCCCCCGTGAAGTACATGTATGTACTTGCACCTGAAATGAAGACTTCTTCCAGACGCTTCCCCCTACATATTATGCATTATGCCTGCCGTGTATGCATGATATACACAGTGTCAAAAATCCCCTGTCTTCAATACTTTGACAACTCCCAAGATTGAATTCAAAGTGCCTGACTACTCTAAGTTTCAAGGTGTTTCATTGTATCATGGTCTTCCTCCACTTTAGTACAGTGTTATACATGTCATACATTGCATTACATTGTACTAAATTTTATGGTAGATGAACTTGGAAATTTTGTAAAGCTTTCATTTTCTGTGACTTGATTCTACTCTTTTCAAGCAAGTTTTCCAAAGTGGTGAGCTCAGATGGAGAGAGACATGGACCTGTATCTATTGCACCCGTTTATGTACTGTACATGTAGCTTTCTGCCACGGAAGTTTTCTTCGATTTGTAAACAATCCCCCAAGTGTGGGTCTTCCTGTCATGGGACAGAATTTTTATCCTCCCAGTTGTCAAGATGGGGGTGTGATTCCTCTGGATTTTTTCTGGAATTCGAGATTCTCATTCCCCAAATTGTGCATGTTTGTATGTTTTAGTCATCCAGGTTTTGCTCCTTGTTTGTACTTTGTGCAGAAAAAAAAAACAACTGCAAGATTCACACAAAGCCACTTGCAGGAAGTTGAACTTACATTTTGCTAGCTGTGAACCACTTCATGTGGGATGAAATGTAAACATGCAGAGATTTCCTGTGCCGTAACACTGAGAACATTTCATTACATTCTGGTGAATTTTACTTGCCCCACACTTGAGTGATTCTCATTGTGTTTGTGCACACACACAGAATCAAACTAGCCTGAGAAGGTCAAGCGTGTGGGGAACCCTCAAGGGGGCATGGGCCACAGCTTGGCTTTTCAGTAACTGTCACTCCGTGACATTGTTCGGGAGATTCAACAGAGTGACGGTGCAGTGAGAAATGTCCACTAATCTTGACCAAATGACCACCAGGGGTCAGCATTTGTAAAGTCTGACTTTGTCAAGGACAGCTGTGATCGTGGTATCTTGTCATTGTAAAGAAAAGAAAAGAAAAATGCTGAAAATTATAGCATGCCTGGAGTATGTTGGTTTTGGAATACTATCAGCAAGCAGTTTGATGCTCTTAAAAGTCACAATATGCTGTTGTCATTGTTGCAACCCCTGTGCAGTTCTGTTGGATACTCTCCTGATCATCAAATGAAAAGACATATACATGTACCACTTTCTGAACTCCCTAAGCTTTTTGCCCTTGGTGACGTCCTAAATTCTCCAGAAAACCTCTCTGTACCAAAAGCCGGGAACTTCAACTAAGTGCCATCAAGTCTGATAAAATAAGCAGTGGCTCATCTCTGCCTCTGCATTCCTACAAAACATGTCAAAACCTCCTGATGAATGTTGAAGAATCTTAAAGGGTGATGCTCGTAATAAATGTTTGTGTGAGGACAGTGCTTGTGGTTTCCTCCTTTTTTGTTTCCCAAATAAGTTTTTTCGATCCGCAATCAGCATTTTTCTAGACACGTTTGTATTCATATTCACCTTGTTTTCTTGTTCCCTTAAATTTCCCTTCTTATTCTAGTTTGTGAATTTTGGAAACTACTTCATGTGATGAATTTTTTTTTTGATGTTATACTCTCTTGAAGCCATATTGCTGTATTGAAAACCACATCATTAGATTGTATTTTATTCTCCCCTGATTACAGGAATTCTGGGAGCATACAAAAAGGTTATGGCAAGACAGCGGTGTACAAGCCTGCTACGATCGATCACACGAGTATCAACTTATAGATAGTGCACAATAGTAAGTCGTCTTTCTTTTCCACTTGCTTCCCTTTTCTCGCATTTTTCAAGTTTTAGCACCGAGAAATATTCTTGTGCTACATTTTTATTTGCAGGTTGGAACCGAACGTTATTTTCATTTTTTTTTTCCCATGAATTGATTAATTATTTTGTTTTGGAGCTGCCAACTACTGCTCTCAATTTTATTGAAATGTCAAAATAGAGTTTTGACGTTTGAGAAAGATTCTGCTAGGATCGAAATGTCAGGCCCTCCATATTTTGAGATTTGTATTTTAGGTCATTGTAGTCGGCAAGCGGTTTGCAGCAGTTTCGTATTACATATGTTTTATTGAAATGATTAGCTTGGTATGAAAAGTGGTGAAGGTGGCCAGAAGAAAGTTGTTATCGATGATTCTGTGGTTTTTTTTGTTAATCGTTCATTACTTGAAACTCCAAAATCTGAATCAAAATAAGACTGTATGCTGAATGAACCAAATATTTTTCTATACGAATTAAGTTTTACTTTGCAATCAGGACTATGAAATAAAAAAAAAATTCATAAACTGCATTTTACTTTGATTTAAGCTACAGTTATCAAGCTGACCCACAGGTTTCAGGATATTGAAATAATAAAAGAACTTTATCACCCTCGAGGTGGGGGGGGGAGAGCCATGTGTTAACACTACAGGCCCGCTTTCATTGTGCTTTTGGTGTTGCAAGCCTGGAAGCTGCTACAAGTGTAGCAGCTGTCTGTGTGATATGCATGTAACAGGAGATGTTTTGATCTGCAGAATTTCAGTCTGAGAAGAAGCCATCTCCATATGTTATTGGATGAGACGTGCCGCGTTATGAAAAACTACCGCATTTATTCTCACATTGCTGAATTCACTGGACACAGCCCAAATAATCCCTATTTTGTGCCTTATTGGACCCAATTTCAGCTCTGAAAAAAGGAACAGGAAGAGGTTTATATTAATATAAAGCGTACATGTACCTTCAACTTGTCACATCACTCTGAACTTTAAAGTGAACTAGCTGGACAGGTTTTGGACTTATGGACATCTTTTTTCTTGTGTGGCGGAATAGCAGAAAAGCATGAAATATCCACATGAGTGCCAGTTGTACAATACATGCGGAACACTACATTGGCACGAACTACGTGTTATGTGTAAAGTGAAGTGTGCAAGTAAAAAGTAATCAAGATGCAGTTATGCTCATAGGCTGCACTGCTAGCTACAGACTGTGGTACATGGCTGAAAAGTCGCACTGTTTGCTAATGACTTACTAAATACAGAGATGCAGTGGTGCTTGCTTTGTGCTGGTGCCGAGGCCAAAGGTTACTCAATCTAGGGGTTAAAGTATCTTTCACCAAACTGTTGAGGTTAGCACTGTCAATAATTGATGGCCTTTTCATGTAGAGAACAAATTCGGTAATTTCCTATGCAACCATCAAAAATTGTTTGTGGGAAAACTTGTGGATCAAATGCAAGCATCCGAACATGTGCGGAGGCCATGTGGATAGCTCGTGTGCATTATGTGCAGTGATTAAGTGAGATGTGTGGATAAAGTATACATATATGTTGTGGTAGATACATGTATGTGTGTTTAGTGACCGACTTGAAGCTTAGTAACCTCAATATAAGATATTAATAGGAAAAGTGACCAGGCTTGGCATTGGGGGCAAGTTCGATAATAACCGTAGTTAACCATACTTTGACTGTCTCTGATAGAACGTATGCTAGTCGATGATGGTTGGACTAGCCTATTCGCGACCAGCCTACCGAGGTTTGCCGTATCATTGGTTGCCATAAACCATTTTTGATAGCACAGTGCAGAGAGGACCAGTTGAAAGAAAAATGCCAGAAAAACAGTATGTCACTTGTAAACGACCACTTTCACTGTAATTTTTGTTACTTTGCCTTTCCTGTGGCCACTTTTTCTCCCCTTCGGCCTAACGACCTGACAATGGTTGGCGAGGGTTGTTCAAACTTCAACTTCACTGCATATGCTCTAGGTACGTCACAAATCAACCACTAGTTGACTAGTCCTTGGTCGAATTTGCTGAGGTGTTTCTCTTTGTTTTCAACGTGTGGAGTTGGGAGGGGACATACATGTAGGCTGCGTGTACACTGTAGGTGTAACCGGTGGATTTGGTTATTGTGGAGTTGCATGGGGATTCTCTGGAATAATTCTCCTGGTTTTCCTGCAACATCCAAAGTAAAAAGGACATTCTTCTTACAGTTTGAAGTGGAGGGCTCTTCAGATTATTATGTGTAAGCCTGCATGTATTTTGTACTCGAGCTCAGATTAAGTTTTGTACCCATCTCAGGCCTTGGGCATATAATGTCAGCTGTTCCGGAATACATTTGAAGAACTATATCAGAGAGAGGAGCAAAAACCAGTTGCCCCGTCTAAGATGTGTTGTATTCTTTCCGATACTCTTAAAAATATTTCTACTTCCCATTACATGCCTTGCAAATATGGGGTCGGTTAGTAAGATTTTTTAGGGCTTTTTTTGTGCTGAATTAAGGGGGTATACAGTTATATATAAAAAAAGTGAATTTCGGCTTGAAGTATTTTCTGATGTGATACAAAAAGCTGTAAACAATTGCAAGAAAAATCAATTAAAAATCTTCCTGAAGTAATGTGAAAGAACATCTCCAGTCAGTAATTCGTTAGAAATAATGGACGGTTCACACCACTGTGCACCACACTTGTATTGTAGTCACAATGGGTACTGGCCAACAATGTCCGTTTATCGCGTAATTATCATATGTGATGCATCTAGCAGGACGGGAGATAAACCTTGTGTTGCGGCAGGACATTTTGTGGAGATACACTGGCTTCAAGTACAAGCGATACAGCCTCAAGTTCAATTCATGCAACACAGAAAATATATGCACGGACAAGAGATCAAGTTCTTTGCATTAACATGGAGAAATAGTCTTGCTCCATTGATGTTTTTTTTTAACATGCAACTGCAGAGCAGCATACATGCAGTGTAACAACACTATTTGGCCGGGATGCCGCCCTAACATTATCGCTCACATGTTTTCACCAAGGTGATAGCAAACCGTAAAGGGACTTTGTGAAAACAATGGATCTCTCTCCTCAAAAGTTACAAATGTAAAGAGGCAAACATAAATACAAGCATCTATGACACAAAAAGGTGAGAGGTATTTTGTGAAGACAGAAGAGACAAGATTTTAAAAACTTTTTTGTTTACTTCTATTTTCAACATGCCACTAAAAATTTTAGGGTCACTTTGAAAACTTAAGGTCAGTCAGGAAACCAGAACTTACAGAAGCAGAACAGCCTTTTTGCCTAAGCCTCTGATGTACCATATACACTTTCACTTTCCAGATATTACCTTGTAAAACAATTATGGCCAGGCCCTATCTGAAACTATTTTACCATACAGGGCAAAATTGTTGGCCTCAAACCTATACCTTTGAAATCAAATAAGAGATTGTAAATCATGTCTGAAAATTTGGCCCACCTTGCAACCGGTCCATTTTTTATGCATTATGTAGGAGTTGTTTGATCCTATCCATTAACCCCAAATAATTGACCTTCCACAAGAAGGGGTCAGATTTGATCTTCGCTTACCTGAAAATGGTTGTATGAGTTTTGTTTATAGCATGTACATGTACACATACATATGTATGTTTCCTTTCTTCAGTCTGTAATATTTCCTCTCTGATCCAAATTCCTTTTCTTTCAAATGAAACGTTTAAAGAGCATGCTCGTCATTTTATAAATAATGACAGAGAGTTTTTAGTTTCAAACATGTTTCTAACTGCCCATGATCTTGGTGACTGCAGAGAAGGGACAAAAAACCCAAGCTTATTTCTGTCATGGGTGAACCCTGGCAAAACCCCATGAACCTAACCGTAATATCCCGCCGTCTGTCTTTCTTGAGATGCTCTGTGGCCTTTTTACATACCACTGTACATTTTGCACGAAGCTCGTAGTGGTGCATTTCTCATTTATGTGTTGTGTGGGCCGAGCAGGACAGGACCAATTCCAATCACCGGAAAGCCTGACGTCAAGATTAGACCTACGGCCGCGCAACCCTCAAATTAAAACCCACGGCTGACAGACCCAACCAATGGCATCCGAGACAGAGAGAGAGAGCCTAAGCAAAATGTATTGATCTCTCCCCCCCCTAGCAACCCTTCCAAATACAATGGCTAATTATATTTTATAGGTCTGGCATCAGTTGGAAGATTTTTTTCCTCCCTGAAAATGCAGCCTTGACAAATTTTAATTGCACGCTGGCCCAGGCTAAAAATAGCACATTGCTCTGTCATCTCGAGGGGTGTATTGTTGAGGGAGTGAAAGTTAAATTGTACTACCTACATGTATAGGTTGTGTCATGACAGTACTATTTATTTATATACACTAGCTTTGAGTGTAAAGACCAGAGCGGCTCTGTTTTCCCCTTCTCAGAAGGAACATCCAAATCAACTGCATAACCCCATCTGAATTTCAACAAGCATGTCATGGAAATCATGCAAATGTAGCTGAAAAGACCTTTTTTGTGGATGAATTCTGACTGGGAAAAAGATGAAAATATTGTGGGTGCACAACATAATTAGAATGGAATATGCAACCACTACTTGTCTAAAAATATGAACTGATTGTACAGAGTGTAGTTAATGTCATTATTTTTTGCCCTTGAAATGGTCCATTCCTCCACACAGCACATACACACAGGCATGCACGTTACATAGCGAATCCTAGTTGACCAGGATAAGCATAAATGTAATATCAGAGACACAGGATGCAAGGGAGTTCTGCAAGGCAGACGAGTGGAGCCAGCCAAACGCTGAATCCTAATTACACTGTGTAGAACAAACCACAGCCCCTGTCCTCACCGGGGCCTGTTCCCCCGAGGGCCACACAGGCTATATTTAGACTTCCCCAGCTAAAAATAGCCTGAGTGCAGCTATAAATAGCAGGGCAGCCAGGGAAATTTATTAGGGTGTGGCGTGCATGTTGGGCGACCGGAGATGTGAT